TCTATCAGAAACTATAGGACTGTTCTGGCAGATCCTAAGCCCATCAAAATGTCAGTCAAGACAAACCTGAATCCCAAAACGGCCCTCTTCTAAGGCTCTCCTTCGAATCTGCTCTAAGCCTGTTGCAGTCTCCTGGTGTAATAACTCCCCAGCAGTGATCCCAGGCACAGGGGCAGCAGGAGCTTTACCAATGAAGCGTAGGTAGTCCTTGTTGCTCAGGCAGTTACCCAGGGCATTGCCAAAACTTTTAAGAGCACGCTTCATCCCATCTGTAACTGCTTCCTGAAAGAAAAAGAACAGAAAATGTCAGGACAGTATTATCATATTATTAGCAAAATCAAATAAATAAAACCAAATAATTTGCCCATATGACTGCCATCTAGTATTATACACATTTAAAGACAATTTTACTCATTCATAACCATCATAATTACCACTTTACTGTTTAAACATAAATAGCAATAATATACATTAAATCTGCTTTTACTAATGATGTCATAGTAGTAGTACCACAAAGACTTAAAGTATTACAATATATCTTAAAATCTATCAGTAAATGAAAGGCAAATAATATCCAAAATATTTAAAAATCCTTATCTCTGAGAAAAATATTTTCAGTATTCACATTGAAAAGCAATAATCGAACTGTCTAGTATCAGAAACAAGGGAGAAACATTATCCCACACTTATCTTTATCTTAACCCTGGAGCAGCGGCCAGTGTGTTTGGATTATTTCCCAGCTCCATTAAATTTATATTTGACTTTTAAATATTTTGACAAACATTAAATAAAAAAATGATATGTAAAAGTAAACTCATAATATAAGGTAAGGAGTTCACAACCTATTGAAATTGATAACTACATTCACAATTTATGTCCTCATATCTATATGTTCTATTGCATATTATAGGTTATTTTTAGCTATTACATTCTTAATATCATTCAGTTTATTCATTTACAATTTATCAATGGCCCTTTATTTATCTATCTACTTTCATCTTTAACTATTATAGTATATCTAATTTACCCATTTCTTGCTTGCTTATCTAATCATCTATCAACTTATCAAGGTAGTGTACACTTATTTTTACATAAAAATATTTCACTCCACACTACAGTGATTTCTTCTATTCTAGCTTTTCTCTACCCATTGGTGATAGGTTATGTGATATCAGGTTATGATGAATAATCACAGATGACAAGTGAAACCTCATCAAGTCATGAGTCTACCTTGCTTACCAAGATGAAATTTTGCCTGTATCAACTAGGACAGCAGAACAGTACACAATGAATGGAAGCCTGTTTTCACCTATTTTACCTATTATTATTGGGTTAATGATAGCAGTTTCAGTAACTAACCTTTCTTGCCTTCTCAATTGACAATGCTTTACTCTTCATTCCCTCTGAGACTCCATAGCCAATGTCTTCATGGAAAACACCATCTTTTAACTGTACACGTACACGGGCACTTACTCCCACGTAGTAACGGCCATTATAATGGTCAACAAAATCTGTAATACAAAATATGGAATTTATATTGCTTTGTAGACAATTCAATCAAAATCAGAAGAGAGAATAATGGATATCTGGAAAAGGGGGATAAGAAATTTTATGAGAAATATATACATCTAGACTAAAACTTAGAATTATTATATTTGTAACTTCAGTTTAAAGACTATGCATCTTTGTTATATTGTCATGCAGGTTGCTGGTGTGCATTTACAGTTTGCCTTTTGTGCTTAGCTCTTTTGGTACTTCACACACATTGGGCACCTAATAGCTTATGTTTGTATTTCATTAAAAAAAAAATAAAAAGTAAGTTTCCTTCACTTTAAGTCCCTGTTTATAAAAGTGACACCAAACAATGAAACTATTGTTGGAAAAAGACAAGTTCCATCCAATGAGCCAACGATGTGGGGTATGTCACCATGTGGTGCGATCTGCAATGCAGTCCACCACAGCCATTGCATGATATTATGCCTTCCATGACCTAAGAGTTAAGGCATGTTATTTGTATTTTGTTAATTTAGATACTGTTGTTTCTTTTTATATCAGATTCATACATTCCTTAGACAATAATATTTCCTGTTAACCCTTCTGACCACCTTGGACACTTCAAATTAGTAGCATTTGCATAACTTATGTGGCTGGTAACCCGGCTCTCAGCTTAATGCATAATTTATACTAAAAATCCATGCACAATGCATTCCTTTTTGTTTGTCTCAAGCACGTGTTCTCAAAATCTACCCCACTCATGCTTTTCAATGCCACCATCTACTACTTGGCAGAGTACCTTGACTCAATGCTTAATTTTTGTTTGTTTGGTTGCTGTCTCACTAATTGTCTGATATAAGTGACATAGTTTGCACATCAAAAAGAGGAAAAGTTTGGCTCTGACTAGTCTTGGCTTGTTCATGCAGATAAGTATCTTATTCATGTTTAGCAAATATGTGATCACACTAAAAATCACTTTACTCTGATCTCAAACTGGCTTACTACAATCTATTCCATGTCACTCTTGAAGCTACCAGTGGCACTGTAGCATCCTAGCTATGTTATTACCTTAAATCTCTTGCTGAAAACACTAATTTTAGAGTCAGTGACATAATGTAGCCTACTGGAATGAATTCATTCATCAATCTAAATGTCTACCTCAGTATATTTACTAACATCTAGGCTGTCCTGTCTTGGAACTTGCTTCCTCCATCACTTCACATATCAAAGGATCTCAGTCCAAATGAGTGTTTTTTTTTCATAGTTCATTCCTAAGAAGGTAGCAGATGTCTCATAATATCTCAAGCATAACTCTCATAAGTGGTTCCAAGCAACAAAACATCTTGCTATCCCCAATGTCCTTAATCCTATAATTCCTAAGTTTCTCAATAAATTACTTGTTGACCTCATCATAATAATCATTTGTTTTGCTTATTAGTGGCTGTTGGTACAAAAAATCACTTACACAGACAAACACACACACACTCATAAGCAACACAAGCAACACTGACTCAGACACACACACATATACAAAAAATACCTTGTGTAACAGAAGAAGAAAGAAAGCGAAGAGGGTAAGGAACAGACAGACAGACACTAAAATCTAACACGTAGAAGGCATAAATAGACAAAAAAAAAGTGAATTCTCATATTAACAAAACATGGAAGTTTGCTGAATCAAACATTATAGCAGGAATGCAAAATGTGGAAAGAGGGACACTTTGAAAAACTGAATATTGATATGACAGAAAGTACTAAATAGGAGTCACACCTAAACAGTTTTGTTTTATATTCCATTCTAACTATTTATCTATAAATCTTTGTTCAGCGATGGCATCCTAAGCCCTTGTAGGCCTTGAGGCAGCACCCTCTTCTTAAACAGTCCCCTCACCCTACCTAGCATGAATTTACCTTTACAATAGTGTACCTTTGCCTTTTCACAAAACTACAGCTAATCAAAACAAAATAAACATGGATTACATGTTCAACTGAGAAACATCAAACTTACCAAAAAAATAAAAGTAACTAATAACTCAAATATAAAATATATAATATAATGTTTGAAGAAAACTTATAAGTAAGCAAATCTAACTGAAAATAAAAAGAATCTATTTAATTTAACTTATTTAACTTTGGAGCATGAAAGCAACCTAGATACCAGTACTTCCAATGGCATCCCAGGGTGTTAAAGTACCCAGTTTGAGAACAACTGATCTGTGGACTAATTCATGAAACAGAATAAAAATATCTTGACTGTAAAACTTAACCAAATACTTACCAATAGTTTGATTAGTAACAGAGTGACTCCATCCATTAAAACCAAAAATTTCATTGGCCAAAGATATGAGGCGCCAGCCTTCTATGTATGCAATCCGCTGGCCGCCCGCTCCTGATCGCTGGCTGATGAAAGACTGACCGAGTTTCTGTCTCAATATGTTCTGTATGGCCATCTGCTCCTCTCCAGTGAACTCAACCTGAAAAATTGTAATAAAATTTTGAATTCTGATACAGCATAAAAAATACCAACAATTTTTGTGTTGCACTATTTCATTTAGTCACAATACTTCATGTTCATCTAAAAAGCATTTTCTGCACTAACAGTATGAACTTTATCTATATGACATGGGTAAACAACAACAACAACAAGTGTTTCTTTCTTAAAGAACACATAAAGTTGAATTTATGTAATTTATGATGGCAAGTTGTAAATCTTTTAAATTGATTTTATGTGATTTTACCTGCCAATTTCAATGTTATGTATGAAGGGGGAGGGAGAACTGTTGAAAAAAACGTGTTTTAATCCATGGTCAGATCAGGTAATGCAAATATTACTACTTGGAAAAAGAAACTGAGTACTTGATTCACCTCCAACCAAATATTTTTTTTTACCATTCTTTAAAGCTGTAAATTCCCTAAATTGGTAATAAAATCACTTTGGACTTTATGAATTAAAGGAGTCTTTATATAAGGTGTCTGTTTATAACATTTCATTTGCATATATAGGCATGTTCAGCACAAATTGAGCATCAAATTCACATAATACAGCTGAATTACATACACAATATTTATACACAAAAGAAAAGAAAGAAAGGAAAAACAATAATAACTTAATAATATATTTTGTTGCATCTTCTTTAATGGATTTTACTTTTGACTATTACTAAAAAAAAGTTATAAAAACTGCACAGATTTTCATGTGCTTGTTTTTGGTAAATAGTGATGCCACTATATATTGCCAAATACCTAGATTATTATTATTATTATGATTATTACTATTATTATCATTATTATTATTATCATTTTTTTTTGTAAAGAACACAAAAGCAAAAATTTGCAAAGACTTTCATTCTGTTTGCAGTTTACTTGAATTATGCAAATTCTTCCTTGACTCAACTTCCTGGACAAGGTACCATATCAGGAACCTTGCTGCAGAGGCTAACAGCCATTTCTTAGGAAATAACCTTCCTCTAGCTTAACAAATCCTAAGATAGCTGATCTCTATCCCCTCTATCAGACAACTGCATTCCACTCATTAGATGGTATGGGTCATTTCGTATCACATGTGGGTGTGAGGAATCTCCTACCCTGACTGAAGTTAGGGAGGTGATTTCCAAGGTAAAGGGCAGTAAAGTAGCAGATATCTGCAATATCTCTGATGAATCACTGAGGGTTATCCTTCACTCCTAAGCCCCTTTTTTCTCTAAGCGCCCCTTCTCCTGTCCCATTTACCTATTCTCTTTCCCTCTTTAAGTTCCCTCGGCTTCACCTATCCCATCAATCTTTTCTCTTTAAGCCCCATTCCACTCCATTTCTCCCTCTTTCCCTTACCTTATCCTTGGATAGTCATGTAAACAATAACTGTGAACATGCTGACAGTCTAAGTCAATGGAGTGAATAATAATAATTGAATAATAATGATGATGATGATGATGATGATAATAGTCCTTATTCAGTTCTAAATATCATAGTACGAAATTGAGTGTGGCATTTATATCACCCAAGGCAAATTCATTACTATTTTTCAGGAACTGTATGTGCTTACAAATAAATGTGTATGTGTGTCCATTATTATAGTCTTTACATCTTTTTGGGCTACACATGGAAATAAAGATTATATAAGTAAATAAGTATACAGAGTCCCATGTCATACTAATTACACTGGCTTAATGAGGCTCTCTTACATCCATCTACTGCACATTTTTCTTCTCTGATGTTTCTTGAAAGACAATGTTTTATTCTATCATAATTAACGCTTTCTGATACACATTTAGTATTTTATCTTGCACATGATTGAGGATTCTTAGGGCTTAGTGAGGATATTCCATTTTCTGCATAAGAAACTGTGGTTGTCTGAGATTTACTCTTTACATTTAAACTGAATCAGCTTGCCCCCATATTTGTTTATGCAAATTTAATGTTCCATTCCCATGTGATTGACTATTTCATTTTAGTATGATAAAAAAAAGTCACTGTTTTCATAGCAGGAACAACAGTAATAGTCAGGAATTAATTTGAGATTACAAAACACAAAAATATGGTGTGTGTATAAAAGTGGCTATTAGTATGACATATATGCCATACCAGATTTAAGATGATATATGAAATTCAGATAAGATAGGATTCAAATACATCATATAAAAAAACCCTAAATGTACTAGTTAACCCAAAGTCTCCAGAAAATGTTGTGAGCTCTGTAAGCACTTAACCCCCCCCCCCCAAAAAAAAAAAAAAAAAAAAAAAAATCAACTGGTATACTTTGTGACCTCACCTTATTTAGACTTTTCTTAAGTTTGAAGGAATGCCATCAATACCAATGCTGCTATTCTTATTATAGACATTAGAATCATCATAGTGTTTTAACAATGCTAACAGCAACATTATATGCCAGAAAATATTTTTGAAAATCAAGGAAAAGGTTAAATGACATCCAAGCAAACCATCTTCACATTTTCATTCCCTTTATCTTACTCTCTCCTTCAGCCCCTGATCTCAATCTCACTTCTCATGAACTCTCATTCCTCCCTCCTTGGAATTCCTTTTCTGGACTTTATATCAAACACTCTCCTTTGTTCTCAATTTCCCTTCTTTATATTTCTTCCCAAATAATTTTATTTCCTTCAGATTTCTAATCCTTACTTTAAAATAAAATTAGCGGATGCATTTCTAGCACTGTTGAATCTCTGATTACCCTTGCATAGTTTATTCATCCTAGCTTAGCTTAACCTTATAAATAAACAATGTTTTTCCTATAAATTCACTCACTGTAGAAGGCAAAAATATATGCTACATAATTTTAGTTTAATAGTAACAGGTACACATAGATTGCTCTACAGGTACTTAGTCACCCAAGGAAAAATTGTTAGTCCTAGCTATCTCACCAGTTTACCCTTGGAGAACAGGCTGAAACTCTGTTGAGTGAACATCAACTTTCAAGTGGAGTTGAAAATCCTAATCTTATGGACACTGATTAGGATTCAATTCTGATCCAGGTGAAGACCCTGAATCAGTTCAATACATGGCCCAAACAAAGAGAACGAGAAAAGAACTAGAAAGTGATAACAAAAAAAAAAAAAAAAAAAAAAAAAAAAAAAAAAAAAAAAAAAAAACAATCTCAAAACAACTGAAGAGAAGCCGGATGGAAAACACCGGAAGATCTCCGACCAACAACAAGCAATACCTCAACAAATATGAAGGCAGGAAATGAAAATTCCGTAGTACTTCTTAAAAGATGGATCTGCAACCACCAATTTTAACAAGCCAAAGCTATAAATAAATCAGTTTTTCAGAAATACATAGTCAAAGATTCCCAGAGAGTACTAGGGGAGTGTAAAGCCCTCAGCTCTGAAGTCAGAGACCTATCCAAATTCAGAACACTAAGAGAAGTAAACAAACTAGGAGACTGGGAAATAATATGCAAACAACTAACTTCAAAATAAATACAAACTGTTCCTATGGTATGATATACCCAGTTGAAACTGATTTAGATACTGAAGACATTAAAGAGAA